CCGTATTTGTTGGGGCTCTTGTACCCAGTGAGTTCTTTGGCTTTCATTATACAGTGCCCCAGCCCTCTCCCTGGGAGGCGACTTTTAGGAAAAGCCTAGATTGATGAAGCCCCCTGACAGATTTTGTTGACGTCCAACTAGTGTAAGGCCCTGGGTCTCCCTTCTGTCTTTGTGCCCCAGCTGGTACCCCTCGGGTCCGCCCCCACTCCCTGTGAGATGTCTTAAGAAATTGAAGCAATTACCATTTCTCTCCCTCAGACACAAAAGCAGGTTGACTATCTGATGCCAAACAGACCTTGAGCAGAATCGTCATCGCTTATGTTTGCCTCCTTGGAATGACATCATTTTTTTTCTCCAGCAATCCAGAGATGCGCTCTCATTCCCACATTTAATTTCCAAACATAGCTACATGCTTCTTTCAGAAAGGACGCATGAGCCGGTTTACGTGTGTAAATTGGATTTCCATTCTTTATTATCATATGCCAATTCCATAACTCAACCTGAGCTGCTTTTTAATCTACCTTAGGGATGGCCTTTGATCTCTAGAGGGAACTTGGGTTTTCCTGGCCTTTTGAATGGTATGCGAGGCATTGGTTTGCATTCATTTGGAACAGGCTCAGGGATAAATAGAATCACAGATTTGCATTCTTAAAACCCCCTGCCATCCACTGGGCTCTTTTATTGTCGGTGCCAAGAAAAGCCTGCCCGACTCACAAGCATGCAGCCTGTGTCTTATAATAAATATGGTTAGAAAAGGCCCCATCACTCACTTTTAAGCCCTCCTGGTTCCTTCAAGGCCAATGTGTGTAAAAACACCCAGGACTTAGAATGAGTTTCTGGGTAGGGAAACTTATATATATTAGAAGGGGATGATTACAGAAAGAGAGAGATGTGGCCTTCCCAGGAACCACAGCAGCATAACACACAGTGGTTGCTGCTTTTCTTGAGAATTCTTATTCAGTCTGTCTGGGTAAAAGCCAGGTAACTGAACTATGGCACGCTGTTGAATGAATAGGTTTCTAATGTTGACTTTGCAAAAGCTCGGAGTTCTTAGTGTGTTATCCTTATGTTATTCCAGATCCCAACTGCTCCGCCAAGTCACACAGGAAGACACCTCTGGTGAAAGACTTTAAGTTCCAGAGAATCAGAATCTCTCTTACCGATTTTACTCCCTGGCTGTGTCTTTCTTGAGGGAGAAATCGGTAACAGTAGCCGAACAAGGCCGCCTCACAGCCAGGACATTTGGAAATCCTAGCCAAGGGGATTTCGTGTAAATGTGAACACTGATGAACTGAAAAGCTAACACCGACTGCCCTCCCCTCCCCTGCCACACACACAGACACGTAATACCAAACCAGCCTCAGTCCCCGCAAACTAAAGCAAAGCTAATTGCAAATAGTATTAGGCTCACTCGAAAATGTGGCTGGGAAGACTGTTTCATTCTCTGGGGGTAGAAGAGAACCAAGTTCACAGCTGGTGGGCCAGGCTGGTGTGAGTTGCATATGGGGGAGCCCCAACCCTGTCGCCCCTCCCCAGCAAATGCTGGACTCCAGCTGGCCCCTTGGAGATGACCATTTTGTTGAGGAGGACAAATGGGGAGTTTTCCACCGGCTTGCCTGGTGGTTTGCACATTTCACGGGGGGTCAGGAGAGTTAGGAGGTTTTGGGTGGGATTCCAAGGCAAGGCCCAAATGAATCGTGGGGTGAGCTTTATAGCCAGTCGTGGTGAAAAGACCCTGGCATGTGCCAAAGAAGAAGAGGCTTGCTGGGCGTTGACGTGACCATCACTTTTAGAAAGTGGTGACCAACCACTGTTCCTTCCATGGGCCTCTTGCTCTAGCACCTGTGGTGAAGAAGTTAAGTCCTACCACCTCCCCTTATAGAGCCATAGAATATTCTGGTTTGGGGCCAGATCATCTCACCCTCTTCCTGCACTTATGGGTGCCCGCTCCACACCCTTGCCCAATTTTATTCCCATGTTCATTTCAAAAGCTCAACTGGGGCCACCAGCTGAAAGCCCCTCCAGGGGGCAGGTGGGAAGGCAGGCGCCATAGCAGGTTTTCCTCCATAATGTCACATGGCAGGGCTTCCAGGGTGGAGAGATGACATCCTGCTTCCTAGCAAGCAGTGACTTCTTGGGTCTTTTCCATTATTATGGTGAGAGTTCCAGGGTGGAACGGATCACATGAGGGTTTTTTGCTGCTTTTGATGGGTGTGTGGGACATTTCTGTCTTGGTTTTCCAGGGGTTCCATGAAAATGGCTCTTTTCAAAGCCCATTCTTTCTGTCATGGTTTCCATCTGTCCTAAGCCAGTCATTCCTTTATTATTTAGCATTTCGAACATCCCGGCCATGAAAAGCCCCATGTTCTCTGCACTGTTTGGCCAGCATAATCGCTAGCAACGATTCAAAGCAAAGAGTTTTAACCTGACGGCATGGAATGTATAAATGAGGGTGGGTCCTTTTGCATACACTCTAATCACTACATTGCTTTTTCTATAAAACTACCCATAAGCCTTTAACCTTTAAAGAAAATGAAAAAAGGTTAGTGTTTGGGGGTGGGGGGGAACTGACCTCTTCATAAGCCAGTACATCTGAGCTGAGTTATGTTTTAATAAACCTTTTGATATTTCTCAAGGCCCTGGTCTCTGCTGTGCCCCCTCCCCCTATCCTTGCAAAGCACTGGGGAAAATAAGGCCAATCCGGCCCTCCCTGTGTGGCCCTCCTGCGAGTTTTCCTTGACAGCTAGTGCATTTCCTTGTGTTACCATGCATGGGGAAGACAAAGCATGGCCCCAGAATGCCACCCTGCCTCTGCCCAGAGCATGCGCTTGCTTCTAGAGAATCCAATTCCAGTCCTCTGCTCGAGGACCATCATTGGGTGGACTGAAACATGGACTACTGGGGAGGGCTGGGAGGGAAGGAACCTAGGACCTGGGGTTCGGGCGGGGACAGTTGCATGCAGACCCAGCATTTCGGGGAAAAAAAAGAAATCTCTGAACACCTCGGTCCAGTGCAGTGAAAAACGACAGTGTTACACGTTCTCGTGCCAGGAGATGGTGGCTCACCCCCGCTCTCTGGAGTCCTTTGGAGCTTTCTGATACCATTCACAAGATGGAGCAATTCACATGATCGTTTTCTCTCTAAGTTCTTTCTTGCCCAAGCGTGTAAGGTGAGCACAGCATAGACGGCTACCCTCGGAAGCAGTGTGTCCCCACCATAAAAACAGAACCATCTTTGAGCCATGGGGAACCTCAGTGACACCTTTTTTTCCCGTTAAATCTGATACATTCTTGCGCTTCTGGGTTTTGTTTTATTTTGACTTTAAGGGTGAGAGTGGGCTGAATGCCTTCACGATGGGGGCGGAGGCGGGAGTGAGGGGAGAAGGGAGAAGACGGTTCTTTGACTCCACCTGAAAAGTACCAAGAGGCACCTTTGCCCAGAGACTGTAGCAGCCGGCTGCCCCCACGGAGCAAGGTTTAAAGACAAAATTAAGTGGCACCTCTGTTTAAGATCTGTTTGTGTAGACAAGCCTAGTTTGGGGAAAACGACCGCGAAGGAGAGCATCTGTGATCCAAATCCCTCACTGTAAGCACAAATCATTCCTTGTCCTGTTATTAAAATCACTTTGGGACTATAACAGCCACTCTCGTCCCCCCTTTTAATAGGAAGTTGGCGTTCCATGCTGGATTTCTGCACTGGAGGTGGAGGGTGGGGAGAGAGGGAGTCAGCTCTGACGATTTACAAACTGGGAAGTTCTGTGCGTCTCAAGGGCTTCCAGGGTTGAAGATCTGGTTGTTGGAAGCTGGGTGCCCGGTGATCTCTTTTTAGCACAGATGCCGTCAGGGCCGATTGAACAGGCGTGAACTGGGGCTGGTGTTCTTGGTTGGCCAAGGCTGAGTTAAACGCCTTGGGACGGACCCCACACGGAAGGGAGCATTGTGGCTTTTATAATCCAACGATGCAGTGACTCTACCAGCTTACAGGAGTTCTCGGCAGGTGCTTTTTATTAATTAATGAAGAGCTAAGGCTCATTTTTGATAGATAATATATATTTATTAAATGCATTAATGTGTGTTTTATAATGTACCTCTATCTTCCCCTGGCTGACTGTCGCATACTTATGAAAAACAAATCGTTAAAGAAATTTCAAGACAATCAATGTGTATCATAAATGACTATATAAATATTACAAATTTAAGAGGTTGTAAAGCATGGGCAGATAGGTTTTATTTTCAAGATGCTGTTCTTAACACAAAAATAAAGGCTTTACTATTTACTTAAGACGTGTGGTAGCTTGTCGAAACAACCCAGTACAGCTGTTAGGCTTTCAGATCTGCCCTGAGGCTGAGGCTGTGGCATTTTGAATGGGAGAATCCGGGTTAATGGCAAACCACACAACAAATGAGGGTAATAAGTTAATTTACCCATAAAAGCGGGAACTTTCTATAATACTCTGGGCCTAGACAACAAACACCCTTTGTTACTGTTGTCTGGGTTTAAATGCGTCATCTCGTTGGGTTTGCAATGAAAGTCAAAGGTCTGGTCTCTTTTGGAAATGTACACAAGCAATGATGTCTTTTTTATAAATAGAGAGCGGTCACCAGGTAAGCTTAAAACCCAATTCAGAGGTTTGGGACTTAAATCAGAATATGGATCTCTGCAAAGGCAGCCAAAAGTGGGAAAACCAGTAACGAGGGCACTAGAACATCTCTTGGGACTAGAGTTCACTGCACGTTTTAACAGCAGTTGATGTAGACGGATGCTCCGGAAGCACTGAAGAAACATCTGGATGAAAGAATAAAATTTTGGGATAATGCAGAAAGTTAGGACTGGTATTTTCTTTTATAAACTATTTGCACTAAAGCATGCTTGCAACAAATCCTATCTTGTGCAGAAAAAGTTCCGTTTTCACATGTACCAAGTCATGTTGTTAAAGAAATCACAGTAGAGGAAGCATAATTTGGGCATTTTCCTTGGACAGGAAAAGATACCAGCTGTGGTTAAGGTGATGGAATCTTGGCTGCAGGCACCTCATCATCCTCCATTTTGCATTTCACTATAAAGAAATGAAAGAGAAAGTCAGGATCCGTTTACATAGGTAGACAGACTTGTCACTTGGAAACCGGAAACTCCGATGTGTGGACAAGGTCCGTTGCACCAAAACCCACTGAGGGCCTACTCTGGCTCTGGCCCCATGGGCCCGCCGGGAAGAACACAGGACCATTGTGCTCTAAGGGCAGTACCTGAAGGTTCAAAAACCACTTCCTGGACTGTTCATGGCCATTCTTAATTCAGTTCAGAAAAAGGTCAAAAGTGTGCTCTGCAGGTCAGGGGACTGAAGGAAGGAAGTTTTACTAAAGACGATGACAGATTCCAGGCTTTCCACTCAATCCAGTCTGTCAATACAAACCCTATTCCCCTCCATCCACCCCAAATGAAAAACTCAGGGTATCGCTGGGGTCAATGACAGCGTCAGGAAAGAAAATCTTTTCTCTTGTGTCACAGTCTGGATGAGAATGTGACACCACTGATTTCCTACCAAACAGGAAAGTCAGCCGGACACACTGCACGGCAGTGTTTGTTAAGGGAAATTAATCTCTACATATAAAAGCCCCTCCCTAGGTAACTGTGGAAACCCAGTCACCTGGGTCTGTGGGGGGTTTCCTTCTGGAAAGACCTCTTTTTTTTTTTTTAATACATCTTTGCCTCTAGCATCCAAGTGCTTGCCCCGTATGTTAACGCCTGAAAGGTTATTTGAGTGAGGTCGCAGGCTCTGATTATTTGAGCGGAGCGCTGTTCTCGTAGAAAGGGTGTTTGGGGTTGTTACTGGGTAGGGGTGAGGTTTCAGCTGAGCCTGCCCCCAGTCCTAATCTCCCAGCACCTAAGGGCGTGCACTGGCTGGACGTCGGCACAGAGGTGAGGTGTGTGCGCTGACCGTCCCACGCAGTGCGGTTATTTCCTGATGGAAGTGGGAGGAATGCCTGCAGCAGCACAAACCAGCCTAGCAGTCTCCAAACTGGGGGTACACAAAGACTTTCCAAGGGGTCTTGGTCCATTCAAAGGAAATCCATTTCCAGCTCTTCAGCTTCCGTGCACAGACTTGCAGTCGTGGGGCTGGTGTCGGTCCTCCTTTCATACCTGTCTCCATCTTGGCCCAGCATGCAAACAATCCCCAGGGCCGAACAAGAAGGCAGTCGCAATTTGAGGGCCCCCAGAGTCTGCTTTATTTTCAATGTTTAATAACCAGAAAAATGTGTAATGTATTTCTTTGCTTTTGTATACGACTAATGGTTGTATTAATAACTCAAACCAGAAAAATATTTTTAATACTCGGGGCCTGTGTCCAAGGACTTTTTTTTTTTCACTGTATATACCTTTTATGTTCCATATATACGGAAGTGCTACGAGCAACCACAATGAGGACCCTACATGCATCTAGATCCTATTGACAATGACATTGATCTTGATAGCCAAGGATCCGTCACCCCTTGCTAAGTGCTCTCCTACTATCCCACTGAACCATGACAGGCTGGTGACTGTTTAACAACTGACTGGGGGCTGAAAAACTCCTAATTTGTAGCATTTGCCATTTCCATAGCCCATCGCAAGCTACCAGCCTGACTACATAACGCAGAGCTGGGAAGAGGTGCACACAGTCGGACGGAGCTGGCTACTCGGGTCCTCGGGGAGGGACCCAGGTAAACTTGTGTAGCATCAGGCGTAACTTGAGACCCGCAAGATGGTTCTCCAAGTATGGTTAGGGGACATTTGCAACACCAGGAAACTGTTAGAAATGCGCGGCCCCGTTGCAGACATACAGAAGCTGAAATAGGGTGGAGTCTAGCCGTCTGCATTTTAACAAAGGCCTCCAGGTGATTCTGATGGACCCTGAAGTTTGAGACCCACTGACTGCTGGTTCTCTATCCTGGCTGTGAATAAGAATCACATGATCAGCTTCTGAAACTTACTGGTGCCTGGGTCTCCCCTCAGAAACTCTGATGTCATTGGCGTGGGGCCCAGGCAGCAGTATTTAGGCAAAGCCCCTGTGTGTTGCTAATGACCTGCCAGGGTTGAGGAACGACTGGGTTTGGAATCCCTCTAAAGAAATGTGACTGCAAGACCCTGAGCGGAGTCTAGAATTCCCCTCAACTTCTAAGCATCGTGCTGGCTGCCTGTGAGTCTCAGAACCTAAGCTGTTTGGGAGAGCTCTCTGGCATACAGCTGGCGGGCAGACGCCGGAGGCTGTTGGTAGCTGGAGGGAAAGATTGGCTTCTGGGAGGAATTCCCAGCCCTTGGGGTTTTTTTTAGTTTTCCTCAACTCTGCCAGAAAGAAGAATTCACCTGCTTGCCTTTGTCCCAGTATTTTAACCAATTCCTGTCCATGCCTGGATAACCTGTTACCCACCTCTCATACTTCGATTTCACCTGGGAAAAGGTGCCCATCTCTTTCAGACCATCACACAAACCTTGAGGGAGGAGACCAGAGAGGAATGAACTAGGGACCTTCAAAGTCGAGTCATCGACAGACAGTATCTAGAGTTGACAGTCAGGAAATAAAGGTGGGATGTGGAGCCTCACAGTGGAATGACCTGGGGAGCTTTGCACAGTCCCAGTGGCCAGGCCCCACCCTACACAATTACGTCATGATCTCTGGAGGTGCGACCACATTGGAAAACTGGCATTATTGAGTGGACCTGAGTCTCACAACAAACACAGGCGATTCCAATCCTGTGTTCCCCCTGCGGAAACCCTTGCACACATCTACTGGGAGACGTGAATTAGGGTGCTCACGATAGCAGAAAACGAAACAACCCAAATGTCCATCAACACTTGATTGGATGAACAAATTGTGGCCTACCTGGCCAGTGATTATACAACAGTGAGCGTGGATGAGCCACAGCTACACGCATCAACTTGGATCAGCTTAACAGTGTTGAAAGAAAGATGCAAGGCACAGAATGATACATATAGTGTGATTCTATTTATAGCAAATCTAAATGTTGAGAGATTCACACAGAGGTGAAGAGAACGCTAAAGAAAAGCAAGAGAACAATTGTCACAAAAGTCAGGGTAAGTGACTTCATGGTTGGGGAGCAGCTTTAAAAGTGACAGTGTTCTGTTTCTTGGGTGGTGGCTGCACAGGTGTTTGCTTTATAGTTATACGTGTTTTATAGTCACTATGTATATTTCATCCTCAAAAAGGTAAAAAGAAAGATGCTAGTATATTGCTTGAAATTACAAAGTCAACCAATAAAGGAAGAGAAAAGAGCAATTTAGCTGTTTGGGGGATAGTAGGGATGGGATATAAGTAGGCAAACCCTCATCTATTATGGCAGGAAATCAGTGAATCATATCTAGAATCTTATCTGCCATATACACACAAGCCTGTTAGAGACACAGAAGTAACCACCAGAGAAACAGCTAAGAGTTCTTCGATTTTATCCTGTGTATCTTGTGAACCATGAGAACCACGTGCAAGGACTATTTTGCTAAAAATTAAGAAACAGATCAAATCTCTGCTTGGTGGTCTTCTTCCTTCTGTTCTGGGCAGAACATAGCTTCGCACAGGTAGGTATTAATGAGAGGGGGAAGGGAGGGAGGGAGGGAGGGAGGGAAGCAGGGGTGAGAGAGGCAGAGCAGGGATGCTGAAAGAACACAGTTTCCACCTGAGTTTAGAGACATCACTGTGGTTGGCTTCCAACACCAACAGACAGATGCCTCGGTGCCCCTGTGCCGTCCTTGTCCCCCTTGGCAGGCTGGTGCCCAGCCAGTTCCGGAAGGGCTGAGAGAGTGGAAAATCCCGGAGAGAGACGCGCCAGCCCTTCAGCTTCAATTAAAGGCGATGTGACAAGAAGGGCCTTGCATACTAATGAGACTCAGTACATCATCTGCTCTTGGTCGCCCTTATTGTCGCCTGTCCTGGTCAGTGACAGGGCTGAGAACTCTATTCACAGCCCAGAGAAAAGCCTCCCAGCCAGCAGCACAGGATGGATAGAGAAAAAGCCTAAAGCTCAAGGCGAGGAAATCTGGGGACCCCAAGGTCATCCAGCCACTAGTACAGTGTTGTGCAGACAGGGCCTCTGCAGAAAGGATCGCCTGGGGGTGAAAATACAGATTCCTGGGCCCCACCCCAGAGCTTTAGAATCAGAATCTCCAGGCGTGGGGCCTGGGAATCAGCATCTCCCTCCACTTCAGTGCTGTGGGAGATTCTTTTGATCTGGTAAGTGTGGGGAAGAGTAGCACAGCACGTCATTCGGTGCCTGCTTCCTCGGAGCCTGAGTCAACAACCCTGGGCCGGGTTGGAGAATGGCACCTGCCTCCTACGGCAGCTGGGAGGAGAAGATGAGGCAAGGCGTGCAGAGCGCTCGACACTGACCCAGAGTTAAGCACTTGATAAATATTAGCTATCGCTACTCTCAGGGAGTAGTCTTTGCCCTCGAGGAGCTCGCAGACGAGAGGGGCAGGCGGAAAAGTCAATAGAGAATTGTAGGAACCAAGAGATGCTCACACACTGCAGAGGGAGGCTGCTGCAATAGATGTTCATCAGACACAGAGCCACGGACCACAGCAGTGCCGGGCCAGAGGTTACAAAGAGGAGACCAGTTCGCACTCTCTAGGCAGCAATATGCACAGGAAACCTTAAAATATTAATCTTTTTAACCAATTAGCACCCAATTTCTAGGATTCCAGGTAAATATTAAAAGCAAATATTTCAATGGTATTTCTGGAGTCCTTGGCACATACGAAGTCATAGTGAGGTAGGCGCCTGTATTCTCCCCACTTTTCCAGAGAGGGAGACTGAGGCACACACAGGTTATGTAACTTGCTCAAGGTCACATCTCGGGCTGTCTGGCTCCTGCATTCATGCTCTTAGACTCTGCAGGGTCAGGGTCTCGCAACCACCTTCCACCAGGGTGACAAAGATTTCTGCGATCAGAGACGAGACAGCGATGGACACAGATGCAAGTGTTCCCTCCACGTCATCTACCACGTCAACAGCCAGGGAGTGACCAGGTATCTGGGAACCGCAACCTTGATGAGATATGATGATGTCAT